AATTAAAGGAAGAAAATTTTTTGCAGATTTTGATGTCATTCTGGGGTCTTATTTTTTTTTCCTTTTTTTTTTGTTAATGAGCTTTAAACTTCTGTGCACTTCCTTAGGATTCCTTAGATATGTTATTTATTTTTGAATTAGGTTTCACCTAAGAAATTATTTAATTAATACAGTAAAACTGATATTTTTTAAGAGAAAAATATCAGTTTTGTTGCAATATTTTTCTTCTTTTTTTTAACAGACAATCGGTTTTATTAACAATTTAAAACCAATATTTTCTAAAAGAAATATCAGTTTTAACTATTACTATATTAATTTTCTTGATTAGAATTGATTAAAGAACATGTATTTATATAGTAAATAAATACAGTATCTATGAAGTAATGTTTATTCACAAAAATACAGTAAACATTCATCAAAGAAACCTGAACCTTAAATAAGAAAAATAACACAATGAAACCAATATTTTATTTTTATTAATACAATACATTTTCTTAAAAATCCATATATGCCATTTTTTAAAATTTTAAATAAATAAAAATAACACAATGAAGACCTATAATTTCTTTACCTGAAGAAACTATTTGTTTTATTAAATGGTTCTTTTTTATTTTCCTTAGCAAAAGTTTAAGATGATCAAGTGCTGTTACTACTACCATTGGCATTTCCTTACCAATCATGACTATAAACAACCAAAGATATAAACCTAAATCCCTTAAACTTTCTTTCTCCAACATTCATGGTATTTGTACCAACTTCAGCAGGGTCGAATCATTCCTCTTCAAAAAGTCTCTGGACATCCTAGCACTCTGCAAAACTAACCTTAACTCTTCAATCCCCTCCTCTGATTTCTCAATTCCTAGCTACCTTCCTCTCCTTAGAAAGTCCACATGCATGGTCTGGCTATAAAACTCTCTCTTGAATCTCCAAACAATTTGTACATGTGTCTCCATCTCTCTCTACTTAATCAGTTATCCCTTCTTTCTATACCATTCCACTTACTCTCAAGACTGTTGCATGCTAGATAGTATCTCTGATACTATAGATATGGCCATCTTCCTACATCTGTCTGCAAATATATTTGTGTTTTGTGACTTTAATGCCCACCATACCAAGTGGCTTAAACACTGTCACTGACCTCGCTGGCATCGAAACCCTTAACTTCTCAATCACACAATCTCTCACATTTGACTTGCCCACATATTTCTGACGGAAACGCTTCTTTTAATCTCTTTTTTTACCTCTATCCAAAACACTTGTCATACTATGAAGCTCTGCCCTCTTGGCAACTCTGAACATGTGGTAATGTCTGTAAATATGTCCTGCTCCCCCCACCAGCCAAGAACCTCTGACCAACAGAATATCTTTCTGTTATCAATGAGCAGGTTGGGACTCCTTCCATGATTTCCTTTGTGACATCCCTTGGAATGACATTTTTAATCATCCTGTTCAAAAATGCAGTCTGAATTCTCCTACTGGGTGAAAGCTGGCATCGATGCTTTCATTCCAACAAGGAAATACAAAGTTAAATAATGTTCATCTCCTTTGTTCTCACCTGCATGCTTGACCACTATAGCCAACATGCATCACTTCTTCCAGCTATACCAGATTGCAACAGATGTCTCTTTGTCTCTGCTTGTAACAAGTGCAAGCATGTCCTCAATAAAGCAGTTACTGTTTGCTGATAGAATGAAACAACGTATGGCATCTTGCAAGTTCACTTCTAGAGATTATTGGCAGTTCTCTGAACAACAGCAAATCCTCAATATCTCCTCTATTCAATCCATTCAAAGTTCTGACATCTACAGCAGATAAGGTTGAGTGCTTTGCTCAGAAATTCTCTTCCAACTCTTGACTCATCTGGAGTACCCACACCTGATTCCCCCACCTCCCCAGAACTGAGGCTATAATGAGTGATATCTGTATAACCCCAGCACTGATCTGATATAATTTCTAAATTAGACTCCCATAAAGCAAGTGGAAGTAGCTGTTGTCCTAAATAAATGTGCTCCCAAGATGGCTCCAGTCTCTACAACTATTGCCTCCTATTGACAAACAGACATGCCTCCAGGTCCTTTCACATGAATGCGGGTGTACCCCAATCCTCTATCCTGGGTCTATCTTCATCAACGATCAGTTCCCAATGAGGAATTTATGCAGATGACACTATCATTTACTCCTGTCTCAATAGCAAATCCATTAGAGCTGACAAAATTAACCTGACCGCTGCTCTTGAAAAGTGCCTCCAATCAGTGGTTAACTGGGGCAGGAAATGGGGTTTAAATTTTAATGCCTTCAAAACTAAACTGTTTAAAAAATAACCCATCATGCAGCCATCTTATTAGGATTCGACCCTTAAAGTCAATCCTTTAAAGTACTTACAGGTCGCAACATAGAGAGATGAAATTTAAATTTTTATTATTGCATTATTCCAAAATTTTAACACATCAGCAGATAGCTATTAATGTCAACAACTGAGCATAAATACTTACTAATTAAAAAAAATTAGTAATTAATGTTTAATTATTAAACATTAATTATTAATTTCTGTAGTTATCGATAATATTAAAGTTTAATATTATCGATAACTACATGTTTTTTTATAAAAGTTTAAAAAATAACCATAAATACGTAAAAAATGTGTATATTGTCAAAAATTCCTTTTCCCACAATATAGCTATTTGTGCTGTTATAATGCTTATTATCTAAACAATAATAATACTGAATATTTTTTTAACATTTAAAATAGATTTAATTACATCTCCCTTGATAGCTGTATGGCGGCATAGCTGGGGCACAGCCAGCTGTCTTTGGTCAGGATCGATCCTGATATCGGAGAATAAGCCGTCAGCCCACACTCGTCGGTCGTTGATGGCGTTTGACATAGCAGCTGGTCTTTAAGTTGACCTCTTCAACTATGACCTCTCTTACCCACGTTGTGATTTTTGATTTTAAGAGAGTCGAGGAGAATTATCACTGGGGTATCTCAACCAAGCTAACCCAAGGAGTTGAATACGCACAGTCAAAATTAAAAATAAACTAGACGATGCCTGAATAAATTACTATATGATGTTTATATTGAAATAAAAAAAATATTTACAGTTCTTTTTTTTTTCTTTTTCTTCTTTTCCCAATCCGTTCCTAATATTTGGCGATGGAACGAAAATTTCGGGTAACTTCTTTAAGGGTGGCCGGACTTGACAAATGGATTTATCTTCAAGTACTGTTGTTTGTTCTTCTTTCCATAACGGCACAAGGTTATCGTTGGAGTTTTTCTTCTTCAGGAGACAATTATTATTATTATTATTAGGTTGGCAAAATAGCGTTATGGCAAAGAAATCTCTTAACTCCCCGACCGCAACTTCAACTAACTGGGCACTTGTATTTATGGGTGTCCCTTCCAACTGACTGGTGTGGTGCGGGAAAATAGGTGGGTTTTATGCAAATCTCCTAAAATTCGACCAGTCTCCTTCTCTCATTTTCTATTTGACGCTTCCAATTTCGGAAGATCTCGTCTTTCGGGAGAAGCCATTATACGACGTCAGCCTTCCTGACGTCATCTTCTGCCTTTACAATTGCACATTCTGTTTTCATAATTATAATTTTTCTCAGGGAAATTTTGGCTGACAACTTTCTCAGCACGTATACATCGGACACCTTTCAACAGACGACTTTAAACTCTGGCCCCTAAACGTGCCAGCTGTGTCTCGCTGAATAGTAACAATCGTATCGTGTAACTTTTTCAACCTGTTCTCAATAACCTGGGAAAATAAATCCCTTTCTGACAAAAAAGTAAAATCTTTTTCTTTAACCTTTTTCGTCCGTATGCTATGTTACAGCTGTCGCGATCTGTTAATAAAAAACTAAAGTTTTCACAGAAATTCCGTACGATATTTTTTGCAGTTGTCGCATCAGAGTTAAAAATAACTCTAATAAAAATATTTTATGAAAAAGAATTCAATTTAAAAATTAAAATGCAAGAGAAAATAACATTTTGAGATCAGTTCTTTGATTCTTTTTTTTTTATACACAGAAGTGCGAAAAAGACTGAACTGATAGTGAAAGAAATGATGATGTTGATAGTAAATGTAAGGATAAAGGTATAAAGGATGAGTGGAGAGATACAATGCCATAAAATCAAAGCGTAATAAAAAAATAAAAAAAAATTTGGATGTTGTAATTGTCACATTTTCATTGCATAGTCTGAGAAGGCTTCTCTCAGATTTCACTGACAAACTTAAGGAATATTCATTCATTGTTATATTAAGCGTATGGTGACAGAAACAAGAAGAAACGACAGACGTTTAAGAAGTAAATTGTATCAACAAAAATACAACTAATGGTGAAGTGGTGTGAAAGTCTCTCGTTGAAAGAAAGGGATAAGTAAAGCCAACCGCAGAGGCTTACGGTAGAAGAGGGTGGGTGAGTCGTCCTTGGAGATGAGAGGCCAGTTATCTTTGGGTGTGCAGGTGGCGTTCTGACGTGCGAGTAAACGCTGGCTCTTGTGCCGACTGACTGACCAAGATGTCCCTTTGATGGGATTTTACGTTCTTTTCGTAGGCTTTTCGGCTTTATAGATGAACCGATTAAGCTGTTTGTTCGTCTTGTGGTCGGCCTCATAGTTTGCTAGGGCAACGTTTGGGTGAATCTGTCGCAGCAAAGCGTTTATCAGCATGCTGTAAGCATCGAGGTCGTCATTGGAAATGTTCTGGTTGGGTAGTTTGGGCAAACCAATGTTGGGGTGTCCACCAATAATGACGTAATGCGGCGAAATTCCATTTGTGTTGTTGGCGGTAGCGTTGATAGACAACACAACAGATTCGAGGACGCGATGCGGGGAGGTTGGACACTGGGTCCGAGACTGTTCAGGAAACGCTACAGGGGGACAAGACATCAGCGCCAGTCTATCCCCTATCAAGAAGTAAATACGGCGCTCCCGGTGGCAAACATCCTTGTTGATGGAACTTGGTGTTAAGCGCTGATTGATACTGGCTGTTCACGGACGATTGTGGATGCGGATCGGTGCCGGTCTTGGAAGAGAGTGACGGTGGACGTCGTGACTATTGAAGGCATGTCCCGTCCATGTTGCGGTGTAGGAGTGGTAACTGTATCCACGGAGGAAGGTGCTTCTGCCAAGATCAACGCTTTGGTGGTGCTGGGATTTGACCTGCTATTGGGGATTGATGCCATAACAGCATTGGGAGGCGTTGCTGTTGGGCCATCGGGCTGAATACAGATTGGCAATGGGAGAGCAGCCAAGTGTGCAGCCACCCATGTGGACGAACTAAACGCAGGCCAAATCATGTCCATCCACAGGAACAGTGGTCACCCAGGATTGCGGCGCACTACCTACTACGCCAAGAGAGTCTGTCCGTCAACGACAAAAGCAGCCGTTAGATCAGCTATACGGGCGTGTGAAGAATGTCAGTCTATAGACTCCGCACTAACTCACTGGCAAAAAGGAAAGCTTGAGGTAAGCGGAAACTGGCAGTGACTGGGAATGGATATCACCCACTATGGTGCCCATCATTTCTTAACGGTGACGGACTGCGGCCCGTCGCGTTTTTCAATTTGGAAGCAGTTGGCGAGACAAGGCTCGGTGGCCGTGATTCGCCAGCTGAAAGCAGTGTTTCTCGAGCAGAGCCCCCCACCCTACCTTTGCGAAGAATCACCCGTCGAAAACGACCGTCACCGGGCTGCCACCTTTGTGATCATGAGATCAGAGAGGGGTGTGACGAAAGACATGACTTATCTCGAAGTTCAAAATGAGTGCGAACGTGTCTTGCCTGCAAAGTAATGAGGAAAAGAAATATGGCCGCTATCGAAGACAAAATTATGCGCGCCGATCTCGTCCAAAACGAGACGACATTCGCACACATGCAAATGTCAGTCGTATCAGACTGGCATAAAAAGCGAGATGCCAGCATCACGATGAGAAGGTTGGAGTCATTCGGCGGACTTCATGCAATAGAGTTGGACGCATGAATTGACTGACGGACAAAGTCAGAGTAGGCGCGGCGGTTGTGTAACGGCCGAGAAAGGGAGTCTCGCAATCCATTTCCTTGAGGCGACCGACGACGAAGGAAGAACAGCTGGTCTGCCGGCGAACGGCGCTCTGCACCTTCTGACCCAACTCAGTCACTTTTTTTTCTTTTTGTTTACTACACGGTCCATTCAGAGTTCATGTCCTCATAGACCGTATAAAGAACGTTCTTTACTGTGCGATGTTGTTCGATGTTGCCGGAACTTTGTGGAACGTGAATCAGAAGATCTGGTTTTAGGAAGATTATAACAATATGCTGAAGTCATACCAAAGTTTTTAAAACTATTGAACTTATTAACAAGAAAAATCTCAAGTTGATGTTAAAAATTGCCACAAAACATTTTGTTATATTTAAGACTATGGAATGATATGTCTCTAATTCGTATTTAGATACATTTATTTTTAATTTTTCTAGTTGAATTGTTCGCCTGTATTGTATATGATCCATTATTGTACATAATTAGTTTACAATAAAATTTGTATGAATACCACCTTATGGAAATTAAGGTATAGTAGAGTGGGGCCCCGTGTCGACTAGAACGATCCACTATGGTGAGCATATATGAAAGATGGGGAGGTCCAACAATGTCGATATGCAAATGAGTGAATCTACCATCAGGTCTCTGGAATTTATCAATGGGCGATTTTGTACTTTTCCAGTTTTGTGTTTTTCATACTGAATGCATTGTTGCGTCAAAGTTTTTCAGTGGATATGTTCGACCATACAGAACGATGTTATCACTTTGGCTCGTCTGTCAGGATGTGATAATCCGTGAAGGTAGTTGAAGATTTTCTTACGTAACGATAAAGTCGAGGGTAACTTTTTCCTTGCCGCATGTCCGAAAGGGATGGATAAGCTTTCAAGTTGGAGTGCAGTATCTTCCTTGACTTGTAAAAGTGCAGAGTCTTTCTTTTTGTGTTATGAACCTAGTCGTAATACACACCCTGCTCATTTTTACACCTTCTTTTTTCGTATCAAATAGCTTATTTTTCCTAGAGATTTTTAGTATTTTGCGAAACCTGTGGTTGTTGAATGCTCGCCAAATTCGAGGTCGGAGAGAGGAGGAGAAGAAACGCAGGCCTCTTTTTTGTCGGTACCTTTTTTTTTACTTGTATTCTTACTTCTGGCTTCTTGCGCATTTCTACTCTTGGCATTCTGTCCTTACTTGCTGCCTGCATGTCATCCAGACTTAAATAATCTATTCCGCATACTACGGAATATACTACGGGAGGTTTCGACATCGGACTCGACCAGCAGATACGCAACGCCAGCACCGGACACTGGATCTGACTAACAATGTCACAACGCCAGCACAACATCGCATCGATAACGCTCAGCCCTGACCAGCTACTGTCGACGATAACGTTCCTGATCGGCACTGACCAGATTCCTGTCGCCAATACGTCCCGGTTTGTCACGACCAGAACGGCCACACCTTTCTTCGTTCAGCCGACCGGGGTCCACTACAATAGCAACCTTGAGTATATCACTTTCTTCGAGAGGGGTAGTTTAGTGGGTTAGCCAATCTGTATCGGTGACAATTACAAATTAAACTGACCCCGATTTAGTAAAAATAATAATTTCTACTAAATCAAAGTCAACAATAAGAAAAATAATCAAATAGGCAGATATTTGTTTTAACAGAAAATATTTTTATATGACTGTAACACTTCAAGTTCGATCCTGGTTCACAACAAACGGCAACAGATGTAACTTTTCGTCACAGTCAACCTGGGGTGGATCCTGGTTTGATCAACGGAGTGATACAGATTCCTCGGGTGCCCCCCATGGCATCCTTTTGTCATTTACTATTAAGGCAGTGCGGTTGAACTCTATGCTTGCTCCATGGCGGTGAAGCCAATCTTCTCCTAAGATCGCCTATGTGCATAGGTCTGGGGTTATATAAAACTTCTGGACGCTCTCCATCCATCCTATTCTCACTGGAAGTTTCAACATTCCCCTTATTTTCATAGGGGGCCCCGCTTACCTGAGTGACTTCTATGTCCGCCTTCCTCATCCAACCCCTATACCTCAAGCACCTATATTCTCTCTATCCTTTAGCAGCGAGACCGATGCCCCAGTATCTATGAGGGCCCTCACTACTAAGCCTCCTTCTCCTGTGTTAATACAGGAAACACCCTGGCCTTCCTCCTTCTTCTAGGACCTCGGTTCTCTGCCCAACCGGCAATGGGTGCTGGTAGTTGTATTCTTCTATCATTATCCTTAAGAGGGTTCTTTGTTCGCCTTTCTCGTCTGGGTGTCTGTGTTTCTATCTCATGCGCCATACCTCGTTGAAGACAATTTCTTTTCAGATTGGCATTTCGTTCCCACTTGACCACATGCCCAACGCCTCATCCCTTTCCTTCTTATATGGGCCACCCTCCCTCATACTTCTGGGGCGTCCCTGTGGCGTTTCCCTGGCTCCCTTTTCCGGGGTCGGCCTGCTTGGTTTGGGGTGGTGGGACATCCTTCCTAAGCTCACAACACTTGGTTTTGTGCTCTTCTTGCCGCATCACGCGCACTGGTAATCATTGAAGTCGTGGGGCAATCACCACTTCGTTGGGCAATCTACTGCCCTGTGGTCTTCGTCCAACAGACCAAGCCGTATCTACTGGGCGCGGGTTCAAAAAATCCATGCTCTTTTCCAAGAACCTCTTTCCCCTCATCGGGCTCCTCCTCTCGCTTAACCATCCGATTCCACGTGGGGGATCTTCTTCCGTCCCCCTTCCTGCTTACCTCCCAACTCTGTCCTTGTAGTTTCTTCTTAACCTTTTCTCAAATCCCTTGACTTTCTCTAGCCAGGGCCACCGACGCTAATAATTTCAAGGCTCCCTTTTCAGGACATCGTGGCGTATGCGCTCCTCACTAAGCGCCTCCACGTACAAATCAGCCAATTGGGCCTACATCACAGCATTAGCCCTCACGACCTCTGGGAAAGCCAAACTAGCCAATTTATTTGCTATCCCCAAATCTTTTCATTTAACTGGGTCAACCTCAGAAGAGCCCTCATTAGTGTTACTTGACAAGTACACACGTTATATTATAGTTGTTTCATATTTATGAATTTTCTTGATCACGTGGGATGCTCGAAAGAATGTTTACCATTTTTTTTTTTTTTTGGCGCGTTGAACTCTGAATAGGTCAACTCGGGGTCAACCGTTCTATCTCAAGTCTAACCTACCCACGTTGTAATTTTGATCTGAGGTAGACGAGATCAATCAGGCGTCGGACCGTAGTGCAAGATGAGTCTAGACTGGAGGTGATATCGCACAAGCGTAAAGAAAATGAAGCAAATAAAAACCCAAGAGGTTCAAGTATATTAAAAGTAAGAAATTAACTTTTATCCGTTTGTTATATAAAGGAGTGTTTTTCTACCAACCCGTTTTCTACGGAGTGTGACGCTTTTACTCTTCTTAGGCAAGTTCTGGTCGTCTAAGTCAACTGGTTTAGTTTTTAAGTGCTGGCTTAGCTTCGTTCGTCAGTATAACTTGCTATTGGTAGGATAGGCGAAGTCGGAGGTCGTGAAATCTCTCGGTCAGCTTCTGTGAGGCAACACTCTGATTCCTGCTACTCGAACTGCAACTCCAACTCACGAACTCGAACTGACTGACTGACTGTCGAACAGCCCGAGGGCGTTCGTTTATATGGATACCGACCAAAAACCAGTGCGGGATTAGACGCAGTCTAAGGTTTTCGGTAAATCCCGATTTCTGTTGTCAGACCAGGAATTTTTGATTACTTCCCATTTTAGAAAATTAATCACTTTCCATTTTGGGGGGATCCCTTCGTCTGTGAGGAGAGGTTAGAGGAGAGCTATCCTCCTAAACTCCCCCTCTCACATTGATACCTCGTATCAATCCCTTCAGTGGGCGTTAATAACTTTCCCGTCCTTCTCATCAAATTACCTCCGCCTATCACCATTTCTACCACTCGACCAATGGCACCCCGGCCGTGCGGGCGTGGCTAAGCTGGCCTCATTAAAATTATAACCCAGAATTTTTTTGTTTACAAAATTCTTTTTTCCATCGGCCAAAATTATTACGAATCACACATTGCCACTTAAAATGTCTCAGATCTTTTGGTCACTCTGCATCTTCTTAACCAGCATTCTTTACAAATTCCATCAATCACTTGTCAAAGTCTGCCACCTGATCCCTTCATGAAGTTAGCGTTTACCGGAACCCTTGGCTTCTTGAGAAAATAAATTTCTTTATCTCCCAAATCGCAATTCTTCCGAGATATTTTTCTAATGCCAAAATTTTATAATCACCACATGGTTACTTAACGTGTCGGTACTGAAAATGACATTTTGGAAATGTAAATAATATCAATTCTCTTTACCCCGTATCCTGAATATTTTCTCATGCCGAAATTTTTCACCACTTTTCGACTTGCCGGCACTTAAAAGTGATATCTTGGGAAGATAATTAATATTGATTCTCTTTACCTCGTATCGGCAAATCATTTCGGAATACTTTCTCATGCCAAAATTTTTATAATCACCATCACTATATACGTCACTTGATATCTCAACGCTTTTTCTGAATCTCGTGTTTTTCTCGGCAAGCACTTTTACAAACACCATTAATCAACTGTCAAAAGCTCACATATGGACTTACTGTGCCAATTTACGGGTCTCTGAGAAAGTAACTCGATTTTATTCTTAAGTAAAAAATAAAAAAATGAAAATTTCGGGGTATCTTCTTTTCCTTTCTCATTATTTTTTTGTTTTAATTTCTATGGTTAATTAGTTAACCAATTACCATAGCTAAATAGCATCACAATCATGTTAGTTGTAAAAAAAAAAAAACAAATAAATACAGATAAACCCGGTAACTGTGAAATAATAATACATATATAACTTCAAACAATAATATATATAGTAAATTACATAAATAATAATAATTGCAAATTATATTATATTATAATATTACTTTGAGCAATATTTACATTTTTCAGTAAAACGTAAAATCCGTTATTTTTTGGAGCATCGTCTTTCCATGAGTTCAGAATGCATTTTTCAAAATTATACATTGAGAAGGACAGATAGAGCTGATTTAATACTACTAAACGCAGTCAATCAATTACTATTTGAAGGGCGAATGATACTTAGCCGCATCATTTGACTAAATTCAAATCTGGTATCAAACATTGCATTTTGCATGAACAGGTGGACCATTAATGACAATATGTTAAGTTACACTGTGACCACAATGTTCTCTGTGAAAAGTTGGTTTCATGATATCAGGAAATTTTTTTAACGTTGGATACACAAGGCGCTTGCTACAGTGAAAAAAGTGGAAAAAGATTATGGACCACTCTTTTACTGCTTACGTTTGTTAGGGGATCGCTAAAGCAACGCCTTTTGATATCTATCTCTTTTTGTTTTATGCGCCATGTTTTTTCAGGACTTAGGCGATCATGACTCTCCACCTCCCTCTTGCAGCTCTCAACAAGTTCTTTCCTTCTTCTTCCTCCCCCAGACCACGTTCTGTCATCCACTTGCTTAAGTCTGCCAGGTATGTCACGCGTTGTTTTACTTTGTCTCTCTTTCCCTCTATTCGACCCGTGAGTATCAGATTCTCCAGGTCCTCCTTCCTCATTATGTGTCTCAGAAACTTCAGCTGCCTCTTCTTGATATTAAGTATAAGCCTTGTTTTCAACCTAAATTGCTCACACGCTCGGTCCATGATATCCTTAGCATCCTTCTGTAGAACCACATCTCTGTTGCCTCGAGTCTCTTCTTCATCTTTGAGGAAATCGTCCAACAGTTGTTTCCGTAAAGAAGGACATAACAGTTCAGTATTCTTTTCTTTGTTACCAAAGAAATCCTCCTGTCTTCCCAGCTTTTGGAATGTGTCCTTGGCCATCCCAATACGCCTACGGATCTCAGTGTCGTGCTTACCGTCCTCTGATAAGACGCTACTCAGATATTTAAATTTCCGCATCTGCATGATTCTAGTGTTCCCGACCTTCAAAGCGCATTTCGGGCTCATCCTCTTACTGACGATCATGCACTCTGTCTTCTTGTAGTTTATGCTTAGTCCTTTCTTCTCACTCTCTGTCACTAATTTCTGTAGGAGATTTTGTAATTTCTTTTCCGTGTCTGCTGCGTATCTTAAATTGTGGCCGCCAATGCTAAATCCCGGTAAGGTTTCCAATTCTTTCAGAATTGCTTCGCTGTATAGGTTGAACAGGATGGGTGAGGAGACGCATCCTTGCCTTATGCACCTTTCTATTTTTGTTAACCATAGAAATTAAAAACCTGTTTTATTAGACAAGGCGAGAAACTATTTATACCGAAAGACAGACTGAGCGACATTAAAAAGAAGAATTTATTTTATTTACAAAAGAAAGATACTTTTCGCAAAAACAGAAAATCATTAAAAAAAAAAAGCGAGACTGTGATTCTGTCAAATTGATTAATGTCACGATAAGAGAGTGACGCATCAAACGAAACAGAATTTTAAAAGATAAACAAAGCTGGCTGACGCATGCGACCGTGGAGAAAATTAAACTTGAGATCACCCTGGAGAATGGCCATTAATTATCTTTCAGAGATATCATTTAATTTTGGTTCTTGGGTCCAGCGAAGGTGTATGTACGAATATTGGCATGAGAAAGGAAATCGCGGATGAAAGTGTTATTATTACTTTTTCAAATTGTTGACGTCAGACACAGAGTTGTCGAAAATAGGCATCTGATGATAAGAGAATTTTAAGACATGAGAAAAAAAAAAGAATAAACATGACCACCCAGTTGACTAAGTGGATTTAGGATGGGATAAAGAATTAATTGGCAATCTGGGATTTGTAAATGTTTTGGCCGAAGGAAAAGGAAAAAGAAAAAAAGGATTTTGTAAACAAAATTTTCGATAATAATTCTAAGAGTGCCAGTCTAGCCACGCCCACACTGCCGAGAGATCATTGGCTAACTGGTAGCATGGGTGATAGGCGGAGGTGAATGTATGAGAAAGACGGAGAAGTTGTTAACACCCACTGAGGGGATTGGTATGAGATACCAATGTGAGAGAGGAAGAGTCTAGGAGGATAACTCTCCTCCGACCTTCCCTCACGGACGAGGGAGAAACCCCCGGAATGGAAGTGATTAATCTTCCAAAAATGGGAAGTAAGTAACTTTTCCTGGCCTAAGAACAAACAGAATTCCTGTTGGGAATTCAGAACTGTCAAAGAACCTAAACCACGTCAGGCCCCACGCCGGAGTTGATCGGTGTCCATATAAACAAACGTCTCGAGGCAGCTGATCAGAGTTTTCGCAGAGTGCGAGACACGGTCGGAGTTACAGAATCAGAGTGTTGACTCGCAAAAGCTGACCGAAAGATTTCCACGTTCTTTTCGACTTAGTTTTCCTACCAAAAACATGTTTTTATTGACGAACGACTTAAGCTACCATAACTCGCTTAAGAAACGAATAAACTGTCACGAATCCATATAAACGGACCGGGAGAGAAACACACTTTTGTATTCAACAGATAGATAAAGTTAATTTTTATTTCTCAACATATTTGAACCCCGTGAGCTTTTTTTATTATTTTTCTTTCACTTACGCTTGTGCGGTATCACCTTTACCCCGGATTCAGCTTGCACTACGGCCCGATGCCTGATTGATTTCGTCTACCTAAGATCAAAGTCACAACGTGGGTAGGTTAGACTTGAAATCAAAGCAGTTACTTCGGTGAGCAGGCGTTGGAGGCGAGCTGAGAACGACAAAGCTGGTATCGAACCGGAAACGACATGATCGACCAGAACACTGGCTGGTGGCAGCGTCAAGGAGTCAACCCCAAAACGCTGGTGGAAGAAACCTTACATTTTCGCGCCGCAACTTGGAGTTGACCACGAGCCGACGGCGCAGTGTTATATATTGACGTCGCGACCAGTGGACGTCACATATTGGCGCTGGACTGCGACCGCGACCACCGATGAGTGTCACATGGTTATGAGCAAAAGGATGAGCCCAAAATACAAATGAAAAATTGAAGATACCAAAATTAGACAAGTACAACAATTGAAATATCTGGGAAGTGTTTTAACAGGGCGGAAAGTGCTATACCGAAATCCGAAAGCGCATTCGGATATCGAAAGATGCCTTCCAAAAGCCAAGCTCAGTATTAATATACAGGAAAATTTCGTTAGAAAAAAATAAAAGAATACTAAACTGTTATGTAATATCAGTCCTCTTTTATGGCAGTGAGCAAGGACGAAGTTTTAGAGAAAATGATAACAAAAAGACCCTTATACTTAACATGAAGAAGAGATAGTTGAATTTCCAGGGCACATAATGAGAAAAGTGGACTTGGAAAATTTGATACTGACAGGACGGACAGAAGCCAAGAACAGAGAAAAACAACGTATAAGCTACTTAGCTAGCTTGAGTAATCTAATGGCCGGAGAGATAACAAAAAGACAAAAATAATTACGAGCTGAAAAAACAGAAAACTGTGGGGACTCCATTCATCGCCAAAACAGAATATTAAGACATTTTGACGGTCGTCTTCGAGTAAAGAATCCAGGAGGTTGGCAGTGAATATTTCGGAGACAGTAGGAAAGGTAATGCAGGTTTCGCAGTGGATATCCCAGAAAAAAAAAAAAGCAGACCGTAGTTCTTCCGTCTGTCAAATTCGCCTGACAAAAAGGTCGGTCATTCCGGTTTCGTAAACAAAGATGGCCGCCTTTATACACGACGGATACAGTGTTCTGCGGCTTCTGATTGGTCAAACTTCTATTGGTAGACTATAAAGGGAATTAAGTCATTTTGAATCGCTCACTAGTTACGTACATATATACCCCGTTGTTCTGTTTGTTATTTACTAGTATTATGGTGTTGCGTATTGTTTTGTGGCGTTTTGTGGCGTTTTGTGTTTTTCAGGAAAGAAAAAGTATGTCAGACATTGTTATTTTCTATTCATTGTTGGAACTGCTTGTGGGGAATACCCTCCCGCTATGGCGGAGGTGACCCAAGAAAAACAGCCTTTGGACACTACTTCTTCAGCACCATCTGCTTGGGTGGCGGAAAGGCCGCAAAAAGGCCCTGAATATTACAAGAGTCGGCGGGAGCTCAAAGAGTTCATGACAAAAGATGAACTCGTACCAGTGCCGTCGGTCATGGAACGGTGGAGAAAAGGACAATCTCCATATTGACGGTGGATGTTAAGACCAGGAAGTTCATACCGGTCAATAGGGAGCCGATGGAGGAAGCCCTAAAGGATCTAAAGATCAGAGCTAAGGTCTTGGCGCGTAGATCGAACGCGTTCTAGGACGTGTTGTTGGCATCTGATGAAAGCTGCAAAGGCGCTGGCCGGTTGCACCCTCACTACAAAGACATTTAAGATGCAAACAGAATATATGGGGACGAGGAAAACGCGGATTATCCTGCATGATGTACCCATGTTTATCACTGAAGACCAGGTGGGTGCCTTCTTTTCGGATTATGGTCTAGTAGAGGGGGTATCGGCCATAAGGAGTAAGGCGGGGATAGCCACTGGTGATATGGAGGTCATGGTGACCTTAAACCGCCAAGGATTTAAGGATATCCCCAATACAATTTTGTGCAGCAAAAGAAGGATTTTTGTGGTGGTTGAGGGGCGCCGGCCCTGCTGCTGGGTGTGTGGTGAAGCTGGACACCTGGCAAAGTTGTGTCCGACCAAGAAGCCGGCACCATCAGAGAAACAGGCATCGGTACCTTCACCAGTGATGCCCGCAGAAGGAGGGAAGAAAGCGGCCAGCAGCGAGTGGACGGAGGTGGTGAGAAAGAAAACAAAAGTGGCAACTTCATCTCCCAAGCAGCAGAAGCAGCAGCAGGAACTCACGGAGAAGGCTGAAGTCAGTCAGCAGCAGAATGCTGATGCAAACAAGGAAGAGGTGGCTTCCAAACAGCAGGAACAACGGCAGGAACGAGTGGCCGTCAAATCCAAACAAAAACCGGAGAGTCCCAGTAAAGAGGCCGCTAAACAGAAGCAGCAGCAGCAGGTGCAGCAACAAGTGTAGCAGCGGCAAGAAAAGCGGAAGAAGTTGCAGGAGCAACAGCAGCAGCAACAACAACAGAAGCAACACCAACAGATGGAACAACAGCAACAACAGGAACAAGATCAACAACAGATGGAGGTAGAACAAATGCCTCCTCCTAGTGCCTCCGTATTTAACAAAAATGAGGAGGAAAAAGAAGTGACACCAAGTCAGCGCAGCAAGGAGGATGGACACTCAGACACCTCGGGGTCCCAATCCTTCCCGGCATCCCCGAATCTGGCGGAATCCCAAGTGAGGAGTCGTTCCTCTTCCCCCTCCCGGGTTTCGTCGCCCTCCCCGTCAGCCTCCTCCTTAGGTTCTTTATCCACCCCACCTGGCACTTCCCCCCCACTGCTCACATCTACCCCTTCCTCACCACTCCCAGATAAAAGGAAAAAGAAGAAAAAGAGGTTTTTTCCTGGGCCTGACTTAAGGTGGATAGGAAAGAGCTAGAGAGGGACATGTCTTCACACAGAAAAGCCAGACTAGGTCCACTCTTCAAAATAACGACGGTGGATGGCAAATCTATAGAAGATCCCCGCAATTTCCCGAAGGCCCCTGGTCTCACTACTTGTGTTAGGGACACGGGGGGAACTTAAAAATATGGTACTTCCTAGAGGAATGTAGGAAGGTGTTCCCGGACATAAGAATCATGGAGACAGGAACACCAGAACTGAAAAAAATGTCACATTTCTGTGCAGGGAGGGTCCCCGTTTTGCTCTATCCCTCTGTATATAGGGCAGCGAAATTAACCTTCCCTATGGACGTTGGCGGGATTGTCCCAGACGGTCGGATGACGACCGATTTAGGCACTGGAAGCCTGGGACATTCCGTCGGGGTCCTTTCACCCACAGATTTCCGCTCCGTATGTGAGTAGGTTTTTGCTGTTTTTATTTCTTTGCAGGCTTAGAAGATGTCAATCAAGTTAGCGACGCTGAATGTGAGGGGCTTAAGGGATCAGGGTAAGGCTGCCCGCCTGCTCCGGGACCTTCTGTCCCTTGATGTGGATGTTGCCGCGATCGAAGAGACCCACTTTGTTTGCAGTTCCGATGCGTGTGTGCTGGAGGATGACTTTGTTGTCTATTCAGCATATGAGGACCGGTTTGCCAGAGATGTTTCTTTGCTTGTCAGACGTACTCTTGATGCGAAGGTGGACCTTGTGCATACCGATGCCGAGGGCCGGTTGATCGTGGCCGATATTGCCGTGAAAAGCGGTTCGTTCCGAGCCGTTGTGGTTTATGCGCCCAATGACCAGAAGGAGCGGGTCTCGTTTTTTCGGCAGTTGGGGCCGTTCCTAGTGGATTCAACGCGCCTAGTTTTAATGGGGGACTGGAATGCCATCATGGACTCCAAGTTAGACAGGGGGCGGGCTGCTAGTGGGAGAAGGGGCGATCGTAGCTTGGTTGATCTGATTGACGATTGTGGTCTCGTCGATAGATACCGGGTCGATCATCCCGGGGGGAAAATGTGGACGTGGGCTCTTAATTGGCCGTCTGACAAGGTAGTTAGCTACTTTGACAGAATGTTAGTTAGAAGAGCCGACATAGATCTACTAGATTGCCCTACGTTCCACTGGGTAGGCTACGTGGACCACAAACTCGTTTGTGCCCGGGTGGCGTTAGACAATAGGCCTAGAATGGCTGGGTACTGGAAGTTCAATCTGTCTTTACTGGACAGGCGGGACTTCCAGGAACAGCTCACTCGATTAGAGCAACGGGAGCTAATGGGGGCGGTTATCGGGAATAAGTGGTGGGAGCGACTTAAGTGTAGGATTAGGTCTTTCACCACTGATTTCAGCAAACGGCTCGCTCTAAATAGAGCTGATAAGGTGAAGACGCTTAAAGCTAGTTATACCCGGGCGGTGGCTGGGGGGAGATCCCCTAGAGATAGCCTTAGCTAGGGAGGCCCTGGATCGTTTGAATAGCGAGCGTTACATGGGCCAGGTAATAAGACATAAGTTAAGCAATATGTCTTCCGAAGCCGTGAACTTGGGCGCAGATCTGCGCAGGGAAGAGATCCGTCGAGGTGGCGATCGTTACATTCGTGAGTTCAAGTCCCCGGAGGGGCGTACTCTTCGGGCCACTGACGACATGTGCGAGGCGTTTCGGCGCCATTTCGAGAACCGGTTTACGAAGGAGCCTGGTCTCCGTGAGGAGGAGTTTCGTAGCTATTTGGCTGACTTTCCCCGGCTTTCGCCGACTGAAGCGGCTAACTGCGAGGGAGAGATCACGGAGGGCGAAGTCTACGCGGTATTGAAGAAGGTCGGCAGAGTCAAGTCGCCCGGTCTGGATGGTTTGCCCTATGAATTGTACTTGAGGCTGTCGCACATCTTTGTTCCGATTTTGACAGCAGTGTTCAACAACTGGTTTCGGTCGGGGTCCATCCCCAATTGGATCACCAGGGGATCGTGATCACTCTGTTGAAAAAGGGCAAAAGGTGGTGGGGGGAACAAAGATGATTACAGGCCCATAACTCTGCTAAACACAGAGTTAAAGATTTTGGCCAAGATCCTGCACGAGCGTTTGCAGTCAGTTGCCGAGTCTCTGTTGGTTCCTGAGCAGACTTGTGCTGTGAGGGGCCGAACAATTCAGAGTAACCTGAATCTGATCCGCACGATCATAGAGGGTGTAAAAGACGACGAAGAAGCCGCGCTGATCAATTTAGATCAGTCCAAGGCATTTGATAGGTTTGACCATCTCTACCTTGCTACTGTCCTGCAGGCCGCTGGATTCGAACCCAACTTCTGCCGCTGGATTAGCCTCTTGTATCGCTCCCCCAGTGCTGTGGTACAGGTGAACGGAAGGTTGTCGGACGCTTTCGTGCTGACTAGGTCGGTTCGTCAGGGTTGTCCGCTGTCGCCTCTCCTTTATACTTTGGCGTTGGAGCCTCTCTTTCGCCGGCTGAAGGACGAGACCGGCAGTCCGGCCCTACGTGGAATTGCCGTGCCTGGAGGGTCTCGAGCCAGGGTTTCCGCGTACGCCGATGACGTATCTGCTTTCGTGTCGTCCCGCAGCGACATTGAGGCGGTACAGAAGGCGCTTGATCGGTACGAGAAGGTGACAGGGGCCAAGATAAACCGCGACAAGTCAACCGGCTTGCGGTTAGGTGCTCTTCCGGGCCGCTTGGGTTGGACGGACGGTCCTGTCCGCATTCTTGGAGTGTAGTTCGGGCCCGACCTCCAGCTGGAGAAGAATTGGTCTGAAGTACGAGCAAAGGACGATTCTGCCGGTAAGACTTGGAATCGACGGAGGTTGTCCGTGAAGGGCAGGGCGGAGGTGTGTGTTACATACATTTTCCCCCTGATTCTTTATCGATTGTCCGTACTTCCTCTCTGTAAAGACCACAGGAAGGCGCTCGAGCGATCGCTATCCTCCATTTTATGGAGGGGACGCGTGAACAGGGTCGACAGACGAGTCTGCACTAAACGTCCGTGTCATGGGGGGCTGGGAATGCCGCACCTGATGAGTGACATCCGTGCCTCTAGGTTGGCTTTCCTACGCCGCGCATTGACTGGAGGAGATCCGATTCTGGAGGGGATTGTTAGGGACGCCTTTCCTAGCCTTACCATCAGTCCCCCCATCTCGCGGGTTGAGCGCCGTTGTAAACCCCGGGATGAATCGGATTTTCTTCGCGAGTGTCGGTTGGCCTTGAAGGCCATTCCCCGGTCCAGTGATCTTTCTCGGCCTAGGAAGGTCTTCTATCGTGGATTAGTGGAGGGACCCGCGAAGGATTCCCTACGAAATACGCTCGGCTTGTCGAGGGAGGAGTATCGCTCCTACTGGTCTTGGGCGCCAGCGGCAGATTACCTCAGTAACACCGAGTTTTCGCTTACCTGGCGATTGGCTCGGAATCGGCTGCCTCTCAACGACAAGGCTTTCATATGGGGTTTGGCGGATTTGCCAGACTATGAACGGTGTGGCCTTGGTTTAGAAGAAACGGCTTCGCACGCCTTCTACCATTGCCCCTGGATCCGCCCCTTATGGGACCATGTCGGCGAGCTGACGGCTCGTCTCGTTCCCGAACATCTTGTGTTCATGGATCACGCATACGCGTGTGACAATGTGTCGCCCCCGTATTCCGGGGTGAAACGGATGGTGTTTCTGACCCTGCTGGCCACGGCTCGAATGGTGATTTGGACGACGCGGATGGAGAAGTCTTGCGAGGCAACCGTCTTTCTAATCTAATCCAATTCTTTGAGCATCAGCTCAAGATGAAGATTAGATCTGATAGAAAACGATTGCATTCGACAGTCTTTAGCGAAAGGTGGGTATAAGAGGCGAGCTTGGTTCGTATGACCGGGGCTAGCCTTGATTTTCTTTTCTAGGTCAACCACATCGGGGTGGTTTCCTGTGGAACCCCCACCCCTGGTTAGGTTAGACAAGCTTAAGTGTACCTAGTTAATGTGAGTAAGTGTTGTTCCTGGCCTGTATCCCGGCTGCTCCTTGGTTATGGTCCAAGTCGAGATTCCCAACCTCCCCAGTTTGTTTTGGCCCCCTTTTTATCTCAACTGGGTCAGCTTTACATTTTCCCATTCCCGCATAATATTTTATCATTTTCCCACTCCCTTAGCGAGAGTGCCTCTTGATTTTGTCCCCTGAGCAGAATACAGCGGCCTCTCTATTTTGAGGGTCGGACGGTTCCTACTAACATGTTATGTTTAGTTTGAATTTTGTTTAATTTTTTAATTTGTTATTAGGTTCATCTCCCCCCTCTCATTTTATCATTATTAGAATTTTATGTATATTGTTTATTATCATCAAATTTTTTTTTAGAATTTTTTTGTAGGTTCCCCTGGAGAGGATGTGGTATTATGGTGGTTGGAGGATTGAATGATGATGGATGAGTTCTTATAATGAATGTGTAATTGTAATGTTTGAATGGGTCGTGAATCAAATTAGCTAGGTATAGGATAGTTAGTGTGGACCAGCCTTTACCCTTCCCCTTTTTCGGCCTTGCATCTATCGATATTACAATGATGATTTTGTGCATTGCTATCTTCTAAAAATTTTCAAGAGTAGAGTTGAATTTTCATAAATATTCAACAGGCGACTTTTTGTTAGACCGCTGGCACTCCCAGTCGTAGAAGGCAGCAGCTTACAAGTTTCCTGAACTGTTAAAATCGCACGGAGGATAACATGAACATGCTTTATGCTCATATCTCCGATGGAGATAGCACGTGGAGGGTTTAACACTATTTCTTGGTTTCGATTGGCCACTATCTCTAGATTTGGAATTTTTGGAATTGTTTCGTCTACGGACGGTGGAAAGCGAGGCAAAGCCCTTTTCCATGACGTTTTTACAACTTCTCAGATATTTTCTTGAATTAATTTTTCTAAGGAATCTTGTTCTGAGGCATGCACGTGGTTAATTTGTGGTCTCTTTTGGCGTTGCGTCTGCCATTTTATCTGCAACATTAGATAATTTTTGGAGAGACTGACCATCATCAGTAGCGACTAGCACCGGCTGTCTCTATTAATCTGTTAACATATGTGCCGAATCGCTAGTTCTTTTAACCTCCTCAGAAACTCAGAGGGTTTTCGCTCACCTAGGTATATTATCTCCTTTTTTTAATACCTCAAAAGGATTTCTGGTCGGCCATTTTATAATTATGTCCCGAACACTATAATCTCACACTGGAGGATAGACACGCGTGTACTAACTTCTCATTTTGCCAGGTAATTTCTTTTGCTGTAAATCCATTTTCCAATTGAGTACAACTCAGAGTCAGAATAGAGATTGTGGAATCTTCCACAACAGCCAGTTAACCCCTGCTTGGAAATGCACTATTCTTGTTGTAACTTTCACCATCACTATCTTACAAAATATATAACAAGCATTCATTGGTTAATCACCTTCAATCTAGCTTGCTGATTGGTCAGTTTTGACCAATCAAATCACCCCCACGCGACAGATCTATTTTGACGCCAACTCTGTCGGAGCCTGGCACGTGGTACAACAAAATTATAAAAACAAAAACACGTAAACTCTCTCTCGCGCGCGCGCGTCTCATTCCTTGCTGCCAAGATGTAATCTTCAAGAACTCCCGTCTTGACCATGTAGTCAGACGTTAAAGACCATTACCAACATTCACGCAAGTACGAACTCTGAAATCTTTTCTGAACTTTTACCAACTTGTACAATATACAATTCCAAACATGCAACAACTCATTCTTCTACAGTTTAATAATCAACTTCTTCTTTATGAGCTTAGGTACAAATATTACCTAGTCTAAGAGACACAACTCTGTCTAACCATTTCAGTTCACATGCATGTACATCAAATACTTAATAAATTCAATTATGTTTTGAAATCATTACATTCTGTTTTGTATTTTATACTATATGCTATTTACGTCAAATATAAATTGCATTGCGTCCACGCTTTGTCCTTAATCCCACCTTTCCAAGCCAAAGTTAAATATATGAAGTACACACCCTTACAATATTGGTAACACTGTCGATACAAGATAAATATTCGCAGGGCCCATATTATTTTATTATTATTTTTTTACAGTTTTTTTTTATCCACACAATTATTTTAAAATAATATGTCGCCACACACTAAAACTGTTGCAAGCAACTTGATATGGAATCAAGTAAAGGAACCAAGAAGAATACGGTGAAGGGAGCCGTGACGTCAGTTTAGGCGCTAATTTTGAGAAAGGCGAAGAAGAAAGCCCACATGGCCATATCGTAATTTTAAATACCACGTGTGTGAAAAAAATGCATTTTCTAACATATGCAATTTTGTATGAAAATATGATTTATGTGCGTAAAACACAATTCTTTCAAAAATTTAATTCGTAAAATCCGGAAGATCCTTTTTTTGCTCGTCCTAACTCGAGGAAATTTTACGTTGAATATTTCACAAAATAAATTAACGAAATTTTAACGCAAGCATACGACAACGACTGACTTGAGTGAGCGTTGGGAGGATGAACGCCACTATAACTTTAAGCCCCGCACAGAAATCTTTATCCCTCCATCGCAAGAGTCATATATCGTTCTGAGACGATTTAACAACAAGATAATCACATACCTCTTTCTCTGTCTTTTTTTTTTTTTTTACTTTTCTTTTCTGTAACCTGTTTCTCTTCTCCACTATTCTTTTCTGCTATATAAAAGACATTACCAATTCAACCATTGAATCGATGTTTGTCCGGCTTTCTGCAGATATTATTATTTTTTTTTTTTTTTTGCTGCCTTCTAAATTTCTTAGCGCAGAATCCCCAGCCGTGTCTACACCTTCAGTCGACCGTGAATGGACGGACATCACTTCTGCTTTCTGGATCAAACAAATCACGTTGACAGAAAGCAGGATTAAACCAGCGGACCCGTCGAATAATCTACGGATGCTCAGGGTACCTATGGCCACTGCCTTAAGTTCGGTTAGGACTGAGTAGACAACCTCAACCCCGAGAGTAAGACGCCGGGGGTTGAGGGGCCGGGGCGAAAGTGTTAGATTAAACTAATTGTCTGATAGAGTTCATATTCATTAGCGTCGTATTTCTTAGGTAGCACTACAAAAGTTAAACTAATAAGGTCTTATGGAATGCCACCACTGTCATACTTTTTTCATTTATTATTTTTGTGATTTTGTCAATACAGAAATCGTCTAAGGCTGAGAGCATTTCTATTACAATCACATTTGGTCTTGCTGCATTGTTCCTGTTCATCTTGTCTTACTTCAGACTTTAATATTTTCCCTTTCCTAACCGGCTACCACCGCCGATACCTTTCCTGCCTGACTCGTCCAGTCCGAAGCCTGACCAACAGCTGGTCGTTGCTGGACGATCGTTGGTCGCGGCAGATGATCGCTGCTGGTTGGGATTCGGACTGGACGTGTCGGGCTGGAAAGGTATCGGCAACGGTAGCTGGTCAATGCCGGGCAGAAACGGGAAGCTGGTCTTGCGACGTTGTTGGGCATATCGAATGTCCGGTGCTGGCGTATCCCCTGGTCGAGTCCGATGTCGAAACCTCCCGTAGTAATTATAACCGTAGTGTACGTGAAAGGTTATGGACGACGTGCAGGCAGCAAGTAGGGAAAGAATGCCAAGAGTTGAAATGCGCAAAAAGCATAGAAGTAAAAAAGAGAAAGAAAGAAGGCCCAACTAGCGTCTAGTTGGCATACACTTTTTCATCATCTCGAGAATTTCATCGGTTTTGTCTTTTTGTCTCGTTTCATTTTCCTTGGGATTAATGAGGTACTAATAATATGTCACGTATGGGTACCCAGGTAATAAGTCGGTTTTGGTATAGGAGGAGTGATAGACTGATACCTGAGCAAAAAGAAGAGGTTGAGATTTTTTTCCTTTCTCTTCGAAAGGCCTGGGCAAAGTTGAATCGTCCAGCGCTAATTGGATGTGACGTCTCCTTATTTTATCAGCTAAGACCAACGGACGGTGTCTGTGGAAGGGTGTTGACCTTGGCCGATGTCTAAGGTGCCACCCCAGAGAGCAGAGGCGAGATGTTTTCTTTAAGTGGTGATAGAAAGAGACAAGAGTTAACTCTGGACCACTTGGAAAGGCTTTGGGAACAAGATTTTCTTAGGCCGGAAAATTTTCAGTCAAGTGGGTAAAAGAGGAAGAATTACAGATCAAACGTGATAATTAGGAATAAAATAAGACAGATAAAAATTTTACAATGGCGTTAAAAGTAACACCCGTTTTGTGTCAGGCATCCACGGGTCAGGTGGATCACCCATTCCCTGGATGGTGGCAGCGGGAGGAGCCGATATGAGGAAGTGGGAGGAAAATGAATATGCCCACTGAAAGGAACTGGTGGGAGGTGGAGGAACAAGATGGCGGAATGACATGTTGCTACCGCCACTCCTGCAGTGAGGCTCCTCATATTTGGACATGCAAATTGATTCCAAGGACACTGTCAGCAGAGAATTCTGATTGGATATTTGGAAAATCTTGGAACCCCAGATCATGTTGGACCCCATACCAATGTTAGGTGAGGGTCCATAAAAGCGTTAGAGGGGAATTACAGAGAGAGTAGCAGTTGAGGCAGACATGCTTTCATTACACCAAGAGGAGATGATCACTTTGCCGATCCCCACGTGGTTTTCTGCCACAAAGAACTCCTGAGTCAGGTCTTGTTCCAGACACTTAGATAAATTGAGCAGAGTGAAATTGCAAGGTGGAAGAATTGAAAGTCTCTGTATAAGGACAGAGAGAGGGAGACGAGTGCTTCATTAGCATTCTGTAATTTGCTGCCTGAAGAAGTCTCTGACTTAGTTTGAAACCTCAACTCTGTTCTTCATTTCCTGAAGAAGTCTGAGTTTCATGAAATTAGACTCACAAGGGAATGGTCATTAGCCTGCATGCTTGTAGATTCTTATATGAAAAAGTATACCTGTTATATAAACCTTGTTGATTTACACAACTTTCTATTTTTGTCTTATAACATCATCCCCCCCTAAACAGCACCGATCCAACAATAGCTGGTGATGATTCGATCCTGGCTTGCCTTGTTATCAAAACAAACACAATGTGGGATAGGGAGAGGCTTGGATCAAAGTGACCATCTTCACAGTTAGCCGCACTATTTGATCATGGGTACATCAGTGACTGAGGATAGGACAGTATTGTCATGTAGCGCATGGGCCAGCATGCCCCACAGCATTACAGAAATAGCGATAAAGCATCAAGAGGCTCACATCGTTTCATTTGTGGGTTGTAGGGTGGAAAATAATTCATCATCCATAAGTCCATGTAGACAGTTTTGAATATCAAAGGAGGCAAATGAGGACTTGGCAACTCCAGTCACAATACTCCATTTTTGGTCTGATCTGTTTTTTGTAAAGGGAGTTAGATAATAACTTAATGAACAATTTTCCCAGCATCTTCATGAGTCACCTGGGCTAAGTCAGAAGATAGATGAGCTTCTGGTCTTCCAGATTTATGGAGGTGGATCTATAAACTCTTGTCATCTGCATAGATACTCACTAATTACTGGAGTATGTTCGAGCAGATCACAGTTGAAAGAGAGAATCCTGTGGAATCCCGTCATTGATCTTATGGGCTTACTAGCAGCATGGCCCGGTGTTGCTTGATTCAAAAATCGTACGACTCATACAGCAATCACTATCACTTGACTTAAAATATTTTTGCCCTTCCTTGCCTTTAAAGGAGAGCCCTTTGCCGTGCTGATGTTGCTACATGCCTTACTTCTTGCCTATCTCACACTGCGAATTTTTTCTAAGCTCTATACTAAACATTAAATCTGTTACAAAAAAAGAACTAAACAAAATGAACACAAAACAATCAGCTTTAAAAAAGGACTCGTAACTGGAAAAAATAGATGAAAAAAGAATGTTAACAACAAGTACTTTTTTTTTTTTAAACCCAACCCAGTTCTGCAGAATCAGAATTAACATTGAGTTTAAGCAAGCGAATAAGCCAATTGGAGTAAAGTGCCATGCAGATTTAAATTTTTCCCATTTGTGATGAATGCAGCTATCGATTTTTTTTGGCATTCATGTCAGTCAGCTGTTGGTTCTCGCGCTGGCCAATAGAATCTTCCTGCCTATTCGTGGCAGCCAGCTATAGGCTGTCACTCTGGCCAGTAGAAAATGGCCGCAAACTACATGAAAACTGCTATAGAAGCATGAAAAGATCGATTATTTCCACTATCAATGGGAGTTGGGAAATGCAAAGTTGGTCTTGGTCTTTCTGCTAACTTGGAGCATGCGGATGTAAATTTTGGTGCAAATCTGTCGAAAATTGCGGCCGTGCATTTGTTACACACACACATCCTGCCTTTTATAGATAGAGATGGTATTTATCAATTCACCCACAGGAATTGAATGTGGCACAAGGCCTTTTTAATGTGGGTATGTCTGAGCCCGTAGGCCCAGCCAAAAATAAAACCCATCTAAACCCGTCCAAGCGGGCTAGTTCCGTCAACCTCCCCCAACGAAACCCTACCCTTCGGCAGAGCTTTGTCCGGGTTCCTCTCTGCAAGCAGAGAGTTCGACAGACACCCGACCCGGCAGCTCACAAAGCGCAGATACTACACTTTGATCCTAGCCACCGGGCCGAGCGGGTATTCTTTTTATAGATAGAGATGATGACAGACTGTTAACAATGCACAGAGATTTACTTTATTAGAAAAGACTTGATAATTGAGGGAGTCTTCCATAGGTTTTTGATATAGTTACAGCATTGTTTTTCATATTCTTAAAAACAGGACCCACAATTGACACCCTACATATACTTGGGAAGCATCACTCATTCAGACAGCAGTTGAACAGTTGTGAAAGCTAAAAGACCCACTGGAAGAAGCTTGTTACAATGTCTGTTTGGGAATGCAGAAGCATCGCCTATAAGACATAACTATTGAATGGGAATAGAACCAGCCATAAACACTGTTATATTGACATATACATGGTTAATTTGTATAAAATATAAAGCTCTGTGGGAAGTATGAAAATATCAAGCAACCAAACCTTGCATAGACAAGCAAATAATGACTTCCCTGTTTTTAGGAGTTGATAAATTTATGGAATAGCACCAGTAAGCTCTCTGATTTTGTAATGCAGTATTGTTTTTGAAGACCATTTTTGGGGTTAGAAAATCAAACCTCATGAGGTCAAGTGGTGACAAATGGAGAAATCTTAAATGAAGAATGGACAGAAAATCATCAGAACAAAGAATCGTAGTGGAACACAGAGATTCCACAAAAATGCCCAATGATATAATGGATTATGATGATGACCTGGATGAAGAGACTTCACTCATCTGATTCACCTCAACAGTTGGTCCTCCAGTGTTAGATGCACAAACCTCTTCAGTTCCACTATAGAGAAGAGCAAGACAGAAGCCACCACCCCCTGGCTGTCACCTGTGTAATCAGGAGAACAGGGTGAGTGTAGTAACGTAGAGTACTACCTAGTATGAAGCATGTTCGAGTTGGTGCAGCTATAACAGGAAATCTGGTTTGAGGCGCATTTTTAATCAACTAATTTGATGAAATGGAAATCATACCTATGCAAATATATCAACACCTACCGCATATTATATAAGCAGCTACATTGCTTGTTCAAGAGGGTAGTAATTCTGTAGATTATGCTTGTCGGTTTAGCAGAGAGAGAAAAGCAGTACAGGCGAACAATATAAGCAGAATACCTATAATAAACTCACAACCAAAAAACAGAAATTAATATTTTTGATGGTTTTGGATGATATTGCACAAGTGGAGTTGTCTTTAAATGAGATTTTGATATAATACCACTTTCAAGTGAGGGAGTTTTCATGGAGTGTTCCAATAATATTGGCTATAGCAGAGGCTTATAAACAAATTCAGAGTGTAAATCACCATTAGAAGAGGAAATGCAGAGTAAATACTTATATGAACAATCAAAAGTGCCCTTCTGAGTCATGTCAAAATGATTTCATTTCCTAGTCGTAATTTTCCCTAAAGTTTAGGCTGGTCTAATTATTGATTCCATTAGTATTATATTTCTCTTGAAGACTACCTATATGACATTACATTTATAAAGATGTCTGACTCGTCTGAAACCTGCACCTTCATTTATTCAACTCCAGTTGAAGTTGGCTTGTTGCCCAATAGTAGACAAGATGGAAAACCAACAAACTTTGAATGGTCATATCTTTGTTGTTAATTGAGCTACCAAGATAAATTTGGTACCATTTTTTATGTTTTGTCACATTCTCTGTGCCTATATTAAAAGATTTTAGATAAAATATTTGTTAAAAATAAAATTTAAGTGTTGGGATAACTATTGCAATTCACTATAGTTACTGAAGCATATAAAGTTTTTATAGTTATGAATCACTGTTGCTCTCTACAAGTGGATAGGGTTTTGCAGCATTTTTTTTTTCAGTAAAAATGATTTCTCAAAAATAAACGATTTTTCATTTTAGTGAGTAAATATGAGAATTTCTTGCTTTAGAGGATTTTTTTTCAAATCAATATTTTAAGAAAGTTTTCAGCTATTTATTTATAAATAAAATGTTTAAAAGTGAGTTGGAATACAGTATTAAAGAAATAAATCGATATTAGAGAGATGCTTAAAACAAAACGACAATTAAAATGACATTTGAGAAACTTAATTCTAGTGGACCGGGTTTACTTGAAATTCAAATTATTTTATATTAGTACATGTTAAAAATATGGGAGGAGTATACAATACTATTGAGGAACATGGAGTTCTACTGTAAAAAGAGAAAACTTGAAAAGAATGTCTGCAAACTTAAAATAGATTAAGCAATGTCAATTTTAATTGCTTGCTATTTATGCTATTGGTATGGATAAAAGAAATAAGGAACAAATCTATTACCTCACCCAAAGGAGTATTAATCCATGATTATTGGATAAGTATGACTTACTTACTTATCCAATAGTCATAGATTAGTCCACACCACATATTATTAACTTATTATATACAGAAAGGCCAAACTTACATTTCAGTCCTTAATTTCAAATAAAATGTCAATTTTTAAAATAATACTATTTTGACTATAGCTGTTTCATATATTTTTAATGTAATTAGTTTTTTAGTGTCAGTAGTTGTACTTCAATCAATTTAAGTATTGTTTTATTGCTGTACTATATAGAAAATTTGAAATATTTTTCAAAAGAAACTTGAACCACATTTAGCTGAATCAAGTAGATGCTTTTTTCTATTTTACTGACAATATCAAATACAGATAATCCAATCAGTTGATAGAGATGTAAAATGAAATGGAATCACCCAAACAAAAACATTTTCTTTTCATGTTAGCTTTAATGGACTTTTAGCAATTTAACATTTTTGAAATTATTTTGTTTAGTTAAATTGTTATT